TGTTTCGTATGGTGAGTGTAGAGAGCCGGAGACCCATTTTACTGGAAAAAAGGCATTCCATCTTAGTCATTACGGTCACGAGTGACGACGCATCTGAATTTTGATTCTTTGTTAAGGATAAATGTAGATGTCTATGGGTCAAAGCAACCACTTACCATCAGGTGGACTGTGTGCTGGCTTGTCACCCTATCCTATATAAAAAAAACAGTCAAAACCATAATACTCTAACTTCGACAGATTTAAAGAAGTATTTATTATGTCAAACGCACACGAAAAATCCAGCAGTGTCAAAATTGTAGCCTCTCCTGTATCCTGCGCTGTTAGAATACCATCAACGATACTCAATAGCGCTGTAACCGTGCTAAGCCAAAACCCTAAAACCCCATCGTTTTGGGGGTAAAATATTGTTATGGTTTAGATATTCTATTAATTGCATATAAACAAAATTTTCAGCGATTTTAGATAAAAAAGGCAGTATACTTATAGTTCGAAGATGATTTAGTCCTCCAGAATGATTATTTTTTGATATTGGATTCATTATAGTTTCCTTCCAGATGTCTGGGAAAACCTCTGTCTGTATAGACGTATTAATAATGGTGGTTATTGCACTCACTTAGTGGAAATATTTTTCAAAATGTCTGACACTAAATTTTCATCCATTAATTTTAAAGTAAAAACCGAGGAATTAAAACGGTTAGATTCAAAATTGCATAATGTTGAAGGACTTCTATTATTGCTTCTTGGCAATATAAAATGATGAGTTAGGATGTCAGGATCATTCGAGTTTGACGACAAAGCAATATCTTTTTTTTTTGAAGTCAACTACATTTTTCTTTATATTTATCCAAAGTACTTAAGGATTTTTGAATTGTTATAAATAAAGTAGCAAAAGTAGGATCTTTTTTCACTCAGACATTCACTCAGCATTAACAGTACTCTTCGGATCTTTATATCTTTTATTATTTTATTCGTATTTATAATTTATATCCTTTGGATATTTTTAAATTGTTTGAATCGTTGGTGTATAGCTATGGTCTTTTATGTAAAACGGTCTTATCGGTGCATAAATATCAAATAGATACAATATATATATGTATATATATATATATATATATGCATTAAAAGCCGTTACAGAACTGTTTACGTCGTCACAAGGCAAATCTTCCCACAGTACAACATCCACATCAGAATGAAATTTTGGTACGTTTATATTCTTAATTAGTCTATAAGTAATACGTGTTGAGAATCGCTTTGGGTTCTTTATGTTCAACTCACAAGGTAAAAAAAAAACGTGATGACTCAGATCTGGCCCATAGTCGAACTGTATATTAGATACATTACAGTTACTGCAAATCAAATCAAATGAAGTTTCGAGTGATCTGTAAAATGAGTCGCCTTTGTGACCTTACGCACTGCCTTAGACCCATACACAGAATCATTGAACTTTTTAGAATTAGGATCAGGAGGAAGAAGAAGAAGCAAATTAATATCGAAATCTCCTAACATTACAATGTAGTAATAGGCTGAAAATGATCTGACTGTATCAGAAAGATAATTTATAACATTATCAACGTGAAACCAAGGAGGACGATACGCGGTACCTATTACAAGATTTTATGTTTTTTTTTTTAATGTATATACTTCATTGCTGCCATAAAAATCAATTTGGTTTTACAAAGGATCGCCCGACGGATGACGCCGGTGTTCAGATTATTACACATATTTTTGTACATGAGAGAATGTAGAGGATGCTTTTGTATATTTCGTGACAACATGAGACATTATTCAGGAAACTACAGCACTATAGTGTCGAGTATATCGCCTAAACTTGTTATTTAATACTTAAGTAATTCTTGTTTTGTTTAATTATTAAGTAGTTCTTGAAGAAATCAGCTAGACGGGAGGCAACAAATTCTTCAAAGGCATTTTGTACTGCCTCTCGGGTAGTAAAGTTAAGTAAGTAAAGTTGCAGCCTATCTACGTCCCACTGCTGGGCACAGGCGTCCTCTCATTTCTAAGAGGGTTTTAGGGCAAGGAAGTGTCCGCCGCGTTTCCCCTATGCGTGTTGGCGAATTGCACATATCTTCGAAATATTTTTTTTTCTTATATCTCAGACATGCAGGTTTCCTCACGATGTTTTCCTTCACCGCCGAGCACGTGGTAAATCAGCACTTAAAATTGCAATTAACAATTTCATTGGTGCCGGCGGGAATCGAACCCAGTTTGCTCGAGTACTGTGAAGCTTACAGCGAGCGCTAACCGTCTGAGCTAACACGGTTCAGGTATTGAATATTTTTCTTGCCAAAAATTATCTAAGTTCTGGAAAAAGTGGAAGTCTGTAGGTCTGGTGAGTACGGCGGATGACGGTGAGCTCCCAACTCCAGATCTTGTAACTTGGAGACCGTCTGTTGTGTATTATGTTGTCGTGTAAGAGCAGCAGGATCAGCAGGAGCTAATCAACTTGCTGAGTGCTTGCGGATATTACGGGGTATCCATTTGTCAAGCTTTTTTATCTTGCCAATTTGACGCAAATGGACTAATATTGTTTTGATAATATCGTCGAAACCTAAATATCATCAGCTTCCGCATTCACCTTTAGTTCGTTATTGTCAACCAAAATTATCGGACGACTACGGGTTTCATTTTTAAGTTTGAAATTTCGGAAACGGAAGCGGGAAAACTAATAACAGGTGGTGCTTTCGTTTGTACTATTCGCTCCGGATATGTCGTTGATGTGGCGTACCGCTTGTGTTCATATTCTATAACTACTCAATTTTTAACGTATCATAACAAAAATAAACAAATGCGATGAAAACATAGGTAACGCTAATCAATAAACCAATGACTAATTTTGAAAAAAAGAATTGCATGGTTTTTCAATAAAATTAGTTTCAAATAAAAATTGTTAACGAAAATTAATTTGAAATGGCCAGTACTGCAGAACGGCAATTTCATTGGTATAGAGCTATTATTATAAATTCAATAAGATATCTTACAGTTAAAAAGAGCTTGTAAATCGTTCGTAAACACAGTTTTTCTAAATATCTCAGAATATGGTGCCAATTTTAGAACCCCTCGGATTTAGATGCCCTTATAATGTTTTGGAGTATTGTTTTTGGTTTGATGGGTTATTATCTGCCAAGTCGTATTTTTCATTGATTGATTTAAATAAAACTAATTTTACGGATTTTATCGCGTATATTAACTTATTTTTATATTCCCGACGTTTCGGGTGCTTTCCAGCACCCGTGGTCACGGGGGACTGAGGTGTTTGACGTCCTGCTGTCATAGTTAGCCCGGCTACCTTCAGTTTTTTAATATTAATTTTTGGTTCGGTTTACGCAGAATGAGCTTACAGTATCTTGAAGTCTAGCAGTGGTATACCTGGGTTTGGATTTGATTTTATTAATTATGGGATCCCAAGCAGATGGCAGCACCCATCCATCTTCTCTATTGAAATTAGGATGTTTTTTAATTTCAATAGCCCCGCGAATCATCCTTGGGATGAATCGGTGTTGGTGCAAACCCAAGTATACCACTGCTAGACTTCAAGATACTGTAAGCTCATTCTGTAATTCCGTCCTCGCCCGAGAACTAGCTGTTTCTAAGGCGCTGGAGAGCCATTCTAATCTTACCTAGACTGACGTCCGGGCTATCATCGGAATAGTGTCGGATAAGACTTGCTCTTGGGTTGTTGCTCACACTTGCGTGTGGCTCCAACGATGACGTACCCGTATAGTGGCGGATAAGAATATCAACTATCCCATATCTTCCCGTGGGTGTCGTAAGAGGAGGCAGAGGGAAACTGAGGCAGAAGATGGGCAGCAGGATCTTTCTGTTATCAGCAAAATAACAATGAAAAAACTGCGGATGCCAACCCGCTCACCAAGCGTGGCAACTATGGAAATATATTCCTCATGGCAAGAGTCAGAAAAAGATGGCTCCCTGTCCTCGGCGGCCCTGCTGTTCCTGGCTACGTTGGTGACCATGATAACGGTGGGGCAGGGGGTGCTAAGAATCTCCGATGGTGGTTCGGTTTCCACCTAAGACGAACTTAATTGAATTCAATAATTGAAAATACTTAATTGAAGTTCATGCTAGTGAAGCCACGGATAAAAGCTACAGTACAGTCCTATTCCCCGCGGTAAAGTGCCAAAGACGCTGGCTGTGTTTTCTCGGTAAATAACGATACACATCCTTTGAAAAGATTTAGCTCTCCTACCAATAGGGACGATGACTAGTCGCGGATACAGTTACTTAACGAACTTCACCTCACGTGGCCCCGCGGACCAACAGTCACAGTCATACAGAAATATTTATTAGCCATATTTGAGGGACTCATGCTTCTCCCACTTAATCAGTTCAGCTGCATCTGATGTCGTCTCGGCTATAAACGATTTTCCTTTGAGGTGATAGGTTATCAAATAATCTAGACACATTTATAGACACCATTTGAATAAAATCGCTAATATATATAATCTTCCATTAATATACTACGTAAATGAAAATCCATGGTGACAAATTCGCTGACGCCGAGGTTGACAGACCGTCGATCCTAGTCGAGTTTTTACGGCTATGCCTGCTTTTTCAAATAATTTGCATAGATTACTTGATGATAAATTATATAACCTGACTAGATGCCTAAGTCCAAACGGTCAAAATACGATTCTGATCTTCTTTAGTACGGAAATTATGAATAAACAACACACAAAATAATTTTTAATTTGAAATTGATTTAAAATCATTTCTTATTTTTACTATATTTAAGTGGAAATTTTATAACCATCTAAATACAACTATATCTCTTTCTCATTTTGCTTCGGATCAAATAAATTATCAATTCCGTAAGTTAAAGTTGAAAGGTTAATTGATAAACGAAGAAAAAGCATAACATTGTTATACGCCGACAAGATTACATTTCAGATGTAAAAATGTAGCTTACACTATAAAAGGTGAATATACCAGTTGATCGGGCACAGTTTTCTTCTGGAGTGGGAATAATGAAGACGCTGTTGGTACTGGCGGGACTCGTGGCCCTGGCATTGTCAGGTGCCGTACCACAACAACAGTTCAACTACAAGACTAAAACTGGTGAGAAATTTTTCTTAATAATTATTGCTAGTAGTCGAAATTCGACCGTAATTCATAACTATATATATATATATCTTTCAACTATCAGTATATGTATTGTATGTATTTTTGTCTATAATTTCAATTGCCCATTAATATTAAAACACAACCATCTTACATACATTATTGCTCCACGGACTATTGAAAAAAGGACATTAGAAATCACAAAAAAATTACAGCTCATTCAGTCAATCTGCCAGTAATTATTTTGTCGGCAAGAAAAGAATTTTAAAAAGTTTTAAAATTCTTTGGCAACAATCTCTTTGCTGTGCGACTCTTGGACCGTTGATTATTATTAAACCGTAGTGATTATAGAATCTGTGACTTGAGAAAAGAGCATGCTTGTATTTGATAAAATTTTCTGCCAATCATATTTACACGAACGGTAAGAGACTGCGTTTCCTAGTCTTTTTCCTGGTCATCCTACAGGTCACTTGATACGATATGTCATAAATAATTAAACGTAAAACATTTGCCATGCAGGTATAACGATAGAAAATCATCTTTATTAAATATTTACAAATACGTGACAATGTTTTTTGGAGCGTATAGCTCCAAAAAACATTGTCACGTTCTTGTCTGCACCATAAACTAAGTCGTGGTTTGTTGCGTATTTCTCACAAACACAGATTAACTTTCTCAAGGCCCCTGATTGAGGAGCTCAATAAAACTATATATTCTGCAAAATTAAAGTTACTTACACATTTCCCACCTACGTACAGACGATACCCGCTTTATTGAGCTCCTTAATTAGAGTGTTTACGTAAACCCACCTACCTAACCCTATAAGTCAATACAAATTCATCCGAAAGGGAATCGTCCCAGTTTACTACAATAAATTGCGTATTATACCAACTAGTAAGGATTTTAATTATGTCATTTGGACCACCCACTGTCTTCAACCTATCCCATAGGATGCTATAATTACCCCTATCGCAGGCGCGACTAACGTCCAAAAAACTAGCATATACTTTTGTTTTCCGCGACACGTAATACCGCCAACTCAGTAGAGCTTTATTTTAAATCAAACTGGGCGTCACTTCTTTCCCAAGTTGTTTCGCACGTTGAGATAGACTTATAATTGGAACTAATAGCATCGGCTACGGTTTTACTTTTGACTATATATCACGGATTTTATTAAGTCAGGTGGCAATAATGAATGTTTGAAGCACGCGTTAATAAAACTGAGAGAAACATCGCAACCTAAGGTCCACCGCAACGTAAATATTCAACAAAAATGCAGTCATGACCACGCGCTTTACCAAGGTGCATCTTCTTATGGGCATTATTCACCATACACTAATCAATACGTAAATGAGTATTACACACCATACACTAATCAATACGTATATGATTCCATCACAGAAGGGCAATCACTGGAATTGCAGTCACTCATCAAAAACTTATACTTAAAATTATTAGCTATCTGTTTTTTATCGCCTTCCCTATCCACGGAGACCGGAATACCCACACTAATTTATTAACCATGCATAATTTAGAAGTATATTGCCATAATTTTGCAAAATTTTTGTCTATAAATGCGTTACTTATAACGATCGAATAAAATTTTATTTTCAAATTTCTGACACCACTTTGAACGACCTTTAAATAGAGACCTGCGTTGCTTCATCATAAATATTATAAAGCCAATGACTGTTCCAATGACTTGGCACAGCAGGTTCAAATCCCGCTCGGAACAAGTATTTGTATAGAATACAAATATTTGTTCCGAGTCTATATGTTTGTCCTTGTGCAATTTATGTTTGTAAACTACCTCCACGATACACGGAAAATTCTAGTGAGGGCGTAACGTTTTTTAATTAAAAAAAAAAACTCAATCTACCTTGATAATATTACTTTAACTTCCTTATACTCTGATTTTCATGGTATAATTACGGACCCATTTTGACTTTCGCGACAAAAGTGCGGCTTTTTGCGCAGCATTCTTGGGACTTTCGTCATAAGGTCCATCTAGGTATTTTCCACGCCCTGTATTTCTTTTTATAGACTAATGGTAATAAACGAGCAAATCGTCCTCCTGACGTTAAGTGGATGCTATGGCTTATAGAGTCCACTTGATAGTTAGTGAATACTGCAACCCATGGACATCTACATAATTATGAATCAAAATGCAGATGCGCTGTCAGCCCTTAGAACTAAGATGGAATGCTTCGTTACCAGTAAAACGGCCCTGCGGTTCTTTAATAATCATCATACAAAACACGGCATAGCCAGCACACACCGTCGCCCGAACCATGTAACAGCTATATGTAGTTAGCATATGTGCATTCTATAAAAAAAAAAAAACTGTATACAGGCTGACATATTATTAAATTTTTTACTTTATACTATATTCCAATAAAATCCATTTATTGCAGTATATATGAAAGTAAATTGACAAAGGTATGCGTTTACATATTTGAGCACCTGTGGTTTAGTAAAGAAACGGAATACAGGAAGGACACTATAATATATAAAAGCGTTAAAGTATTTAAATATCTTTTTATATTTAAAATATATAATGGTCATTTTAAAATAAACAACGAATAATCAGATGATGAAGATACACTGCTCAATATGTACTTTTATGCCTTATACTTATGCCTTAGATCTATTTGAATATACAAAATACAAGCTAATAATGGAGAAATCTTCATTATTTTACAGTCGACGCCGAGTTTGCGGCGAAACAGAAGAAAATATTTGATCTTTTCTTCGCACCCCACCAAATCGACACAGATGCGGAATATTACAAAATTGCTAAGGACTACAACATTGAAGCGAACGTTGAAAATTACACAGTAAGTATTCATTCATCGTCATCATTACGGCCTATCAAATTCCAATGAACACATATAGGCCTCCAGTATATATGGAATCTTAGAATATTTTTCATGGTTGCCTTGCTTGGCTGGCAGAATGGTAACCACAGTTAATTTTATTATTTTGAAGTTGTTATCAGTAAGATGCTGCTTTTCGTCGCCTATTTCAGTTTCATTTTGTCACCTCTTACCATACTTATGAATGATATAGGGTAGTGGATTCTTTTAATTAATTATTTATTTTACGGTTTCATTAACAGATCAAGTACTAAATAGATGTTAGTGTTAAATACTTTATGCCTTGTGAGATTGCACACAAAATACGATGCGTAAAGCTCCACGCATCGTGCCTATGTGGCAGCTATGTAAAGCTTTATTGTCGTTGTTTTTTATTCAATTTATAAGTTTATTATTGAATTGACACCGATAATTCTTAGTTTTTATATTTTGATAGAACTGTGTGCAATAGGTATAGAATCAAATAATGCGTGTAGTAGAAAGTGAAAACGACACATGCAAGTCTTGCTCACACAATCGGCTTACTTCAGCTTATCACATATTTAAATGATTTAATAAAATATTTAAATTAAAAATTTGTTTGTTCACAGAACAAGAAGGCTGTAGAGGACTTCTTGGTGTTGTACAAATATGGATTCCTTCCAAAAAGTCACGTTTTCTCTATTTTCTACGACAAACAGAGGGATGAAGCCATCGCTCTATTCTACCTGTTCTATTATGCCAAAGATTTCGAAACCTTCTACAAAACTGCCGCCTATGCACGTGTGTACTTTAACGAAGGTCAATTCCTGTATGCGTACTATATCGCTGTTCTTCACCGTGCAGACACTAAAGGAATAATTCTTCCTGCTCCTTACGAAATTTACCCCGATTTCTTTATTAACACAGATGTTTCCTACAGAATGTTCCGCACTAAAATGCAAGGCGAAATTTTCAATCCTGCTGATGCTGCTGAGTACGGCGTTGTCCGTGAAAACGACTACTATGTATATTACAGTAACACCTCTAGCTACTGGTCTTACGGTGATGAAGACAAGTTGTCTTACTTCACTGAAGACATTAGCTTAAACTCTCACTACTACTTCTTCAACTCTTATTTCCCATTCTGGATGAAAGGAGATATTTTCCAAGAATGGAAAGAACGTCGTGGTGAAAGTTATTTCTTCTTTTACAAGCAGTTGCTTGCCCGATACTACTTAGAACGTCTTTGCAATGGACTGGGTGAAATTCCTGAGTTCTCGTGGAGTAAACCAATCAAATCTGGTTACCTTCCTTTCCTAACTTATTACTATCCTTTCATTCAACGACCTGCCTACTACCAAATACCTTACGAAAGCAATATTCAAGAGTTACAGTTCCTTGACACATATGAAAAAACTTTCTTGCAATATCTCGAGAGAGGCCGCTTCAAGGCTGTAAGTATTTACTTCATTTGTGTTAATAATGGCTTATTGTAGTTGGATTAGCTTAGATCAAGATATGTATATATTATTTTATTTTACAGTATTTTTTATAGTATTTATTTTTAAATTTACAGTACAACCAAGAAGTTGACTTCAGCAACTCAAAGTCTATTAACTTCGTTAGCAACTTCTGGCAATCAAATGCTGATTTATACGAGAAGTTTGGACCTAGAAACTATCTCCGCTCCTATGAAGTCATTGCTCGCCGCCTTTTGGGTGCTGCTCCGGAATCAGTTGACAAGTACGTTCATAGACAGTTATATTAAATAATATGAGAAAACGAATATGACTATACAACCCATTATTATAACTCGCAACATAAGGAGTATTAAAAAAAAAATTACGTCTTTGATGGTCTAGTGGTCATGCGGTTCCGGGCCAAAAAACAGTTTTTGGGTTTGTCTGTCAAGATATTCTCAGTAAGGGTCCAAATGAAATGAGAGGTCTCAACCCCATGCCCCGAAAAGCACGTGAAGCCCCGATCTCTATCCGCTCGTTTCTGATTGATCTATTTTATTCAAAAAACTTAAACTTCTTTTAGTTAAAACGAAAAATTGATAAAATGAACGGCCTTTGAATACCTTAAATCTAAATCATGTCAGATTAATATATACTATCCGGGCAAAGTCAGGACGGGTCGCTAGTTTTCTTATATAAATATTATTATGGGATTACCTAAAATTCTCCTTCGTATTATTTACAGATACACCTACCTACCAACAGCGCTTGACTTCTACCAAACGTCTCTCCGTGATCCAGTTTTCTACCAACTTTACAGCAGAATTTTGAAATACTTTATTCAATACAGGGAATACGTTCCAACATACACTAAAGACATGCTTCACTACATCGGAGTTAAGATAAATGATGTTAAAGTTGACAAACTTGTCACATTCTTTGACTACTTTGACTTTGATGTTACCAATGGCGTATACTTTTCACCTGAACAACTGAAAACCTACAAATTCACTCCCTTCAAAGTGCGCCAGCCACGCCTTAACCATAAACCGTTTACTGTTACCGTCGATGTTAAGTCCGACGTTGAAGGCGGTGCTGTATTCAAGATTTTCATGGGTCCTAAATACAACGGTGAAGGCTATCCAATCAGCTTGGAAGATAACTGGATGAACTTTGTTGAGCTGGACTGGTTCGTTGAAAAGTTGAATGTTGGACAAAATAAGATTGAGCGTAGCTCAAGCGACTTCTTGTTATTCAATGAAGATACAGTTCCAATGACAGAAGTCTACAAGCTCCTTGAACAAGGCAAAGTTCCTGCTCACATGTCTACTGAAACAGGCTTTATGTCCTCCAGATTGATGCTACCCAAGGGAACAAAGGGAGGATTCCCCTATCAGTTCTTCGTAATGGTTTATCCCTACCAGGGTACGGAAAATGTAACCAAGCCCAGTGCAAGCTTTAGAATTGATAACCAACCATTCGGTTATCCATTCGACCGCCCAGTAAACGAGGCTTACTTCATGCAACCAAACATGTACTTCAAGGATGTATTTGTGTACCACGAAGATGACATTTTCCCATACCAGTACTCGTATCCCTACTATGTAGGTCAAGAAACAAAATTCATGAAGTACTAAGAGATGAGAGAGAGCATGTAAGACTTAGAAAAATTAATTTAATGTTTTTGTGGAATGAGGAATAAATTTAAAAATAAATCTTAATTTTCTTCTTTTATTTATTTGATTTGATGAGGTTTATAATAAAATATTATATTATTATAATTATATATTTAGAGAATATATCAAATAATGTTCCAGAGCAAAAAGTGTGCTCCACAGCTTTACAAACATTAAAATTAAAACTACCTCTAATTACATTTAAATGACTTAGAATGTAATTAATGGTGAAATGGAAAAGTTCAAATTAAGCAATTCAATTCAATGTTAACAATAATTTAAAGAAGGTGCGGTGGCTTTCGAGAAACATTTCACTGATGTTCCTTTTTAGACAAAAATATCTTTAAATTCTTCTCCAGCTATATGATTGATTAAACAAAATATAAATTGTTGCTCAACAATTTTTAAATTCCATAGAGTATTGTCAAAAGATTTTGTTAAATTTTTCAAAAAGATTGATAGCAATAAAACGGCAGTTTGATATGGATTTCAGTTAAAGTAGTTGGTCCATAATATTTACAATTACACTTTATCTAGCAAAAATTTTAATACAAGAGTCAAATCTGGTGTGTTTTCTGATTTAGTAAAACAATAAGACAACTTCTGTACTAACAACCATTAGTATAATTTTTGAAAAAATAATTTTAGATTAGATTTTAAGCTTTTTTTAATGTAAATAAATTGGTTCATAAGAATCAGTTCGGTTTTACGAGAGGTCACTTTACAACTGACGCCAGTGTTGAGCTTATAAAACGTATGTTTGTGCATAGGACAATTCATAGGATGCTTTTGTGTATATTTTGTGACCTTTAAAAGGCTATTGACTGTGTTCACAATGAGACATTTGTCAGAAAGTGACAGCACTATACCATTCAAACCTATTATTTAATAGAGCAGAAAGTAATTTCTTTTTATAGGATAAGAGTGACAAACGAGCACACAGTCCACCTGATGGTAAGTGGTTACTGCGGCCCATAGACATTTACATCTATCCTCTATTACAAATCAAAATGCAGATGCGTTGTCACCCGTGAGGACTAAGATGGAATGCCTCATTTCCAGTAAAATGGGCCTCCGGCCACCTGCACTCACCATGCGAAACGCAGAGGTAAAACTCTACTTCACGCTGGTATTCTGTGAGGTCGTGGTACCACCCCGGTTTGAGTCGGCTCATCCGTGCGACAGCAAAAGCTGCCGCGTGACACTACCACTGTTAATACCACTGTTATTAGCAATGGAAAAAGGTCTTCCGCGTCACTTGTACTTATGAATGTTCCTAAGTGCTCATTTCTCAGCCTATTCCTATTTCTGCTCTATATTAATGACTAATCTTCACTTGTAGGGAATGATATAATATTGTTTGCTAATTGACATACGATGAACTTCATTGATCCTTAAACATAAACGGCAATCATTTAAATATGACGTAGTGAATAATAATGCTATCTCAAAGTTAGTGCCGTGTAGTGGCGGTTAAGAATATCCACTACCCATATTTTCCTCATTACAAATCCCCATGATGAGAGTAACTAAGAAACGGCCCCCAGACGCCGGCGGCCCCACTATTCCTGGCAACGGTGGCGACCATGGTAACGGCGGGGCAGGGGGTGCTAAGAATCTCCGGTGGAGGTTCGGTTGCCACCTAAGACGACTCGACCTGGCAACATAAAACGCACGCGCGCTGAGGACTGACGGGAAGAACGTGGAGATGGAAGAAGAGATAGACAAGTTACGCTGGCATATTATAGGATTATCCAAGGTCCGAAGAGAGGGGGAGGACACGGTAATCCTTGAATCCGGCAACTTGCTCTATCACCGGGAAGGCGACCATCTGTCCCAAGGAGGTGTCGGATTTATCGTCCACAAGTCTCTCGTTAACAACATGGTAAAGATTGAGAGTGTGTCGACGAGGGTTACGTACCTTATATTTAGAATCACCAAACGGTATTCGCTGAAGGTCGTACAGATTTACACACCAACCTCGGCACAACCCGATGAGGAGGTGGAGGAAATGTATGAGGATATCTCTAGAGCCATGCATTCCTCCAAAACCCACTATACGGTGTTAATGGGAGGCTTCAATGCAAAACTAGGCATAAGAGAGAACAATGAGCTGAAGGTAGGGCAATTTGGAATAGGGCATCGGAAACCTAACGGCCAGCAGCTGACTGACTTCATGGAAAAAGAGGGACTCTTTATGATGAACTCTTTCTTCCAGAAGCGGCCCCACAGGAAGTGGACCTGTTCGAGCCCCGAAGGTTCGACAAAAAATGAGATTAACTTCATTATGACGACCAGACTACAACTGTTCAGTGATGTCTCCGTGATCGCGAGGGTGAAAACTGGTAGCGATCACCGAATGGTTAGACGCACACTGAACCTAAACGTTAAGTTGGAGAGGTCTCGTCTAATGAAGTCAACGCTCCGTCCCCCTCGTGCTCTGTTCCAAAGTCCCGAAACCTTTCAGCTCGAGTTACAAAACCGTTTTCAGTGCTTAGAAGACTGCAATGAAGTGGACGATATGAAAGACAATCTCGTGGAAACTGTCCATGCAGTTGAAGCTAAGTTCTGCAAGACCCGCCGCAGAAGAACACAAAAACTCTCCGATCACACTCTCAATCTCATGGCTATAAACTCAAAAATGATCCGCAGTAGAACCGGAGTACCCGATATAGCCCAACGGATTAGTAATACTGAAGTAGCAGTAGGCCGGCCTTCGAAAAACCGACAACCGATGGGGGAAGAATGGTTATCGAGTGGCAGCGTCGTACGGATGAAATGACGACCTGGTAAGACATGCAGGAGGTCAATGGATGCCGGTGGCTCAGGACCATGCTTTATGACATTCCTTGGGGGAGGCCTATGTTCAATGGACTTATGAAGGGTTGTCATAACGATGATGATGAGAAAAATTAGTGTATTATATATATATTTGTTACGTGGTAGAGCCATGCTGCAGCTATCTTCCTTGCAGATCGGAGCATCAAGGTCGTTGTAGACGGTGCATGTTCTGACTACAAGCCTATTAACACTGATGTTCCACAAGGCTGTATGCTGTCACCAACGCTGTTTCTTCTGCATATCAATGATATGTTGCTAACTAGTAACATTCATTGCTATGCGGATGACAGCACTGGTGATGCCCTATACACCGGCCGTGCCAATATTTCTCGGGAAAACGTCGCCGAGTACCGGAACGAACTTGTGTCTGAAGTCGAGTCTTTGCTGAACAAAGTCTCGGATTGGGTGCGACTAAATCTAGTCTAGTTTAATCCTCAGAAGACAAAAGTTTGCGCGTTTACCGCTAAAAAGAACCCCTTTGTCGTATCTCCTCAGTTTCAAGGCACTCCCCTTTTTGCCTCAGCCAGTATCGGTATCCTCGGTGTCGACATATCGAGTGACGTGCAGTTTCGTGGTCACTTGGAAGAGAAGGCCAAATTGGCCTCTAAAAAGCTTGGCGTGCTCAGCAGAGCGGGACAGTATTTCATGCCGGCACACAGCCTGCAACTTTACAAGGCGCAGGTTCGGCCTCACATGGAATACTGTTCTCATCTCTGGGCAGGGACACCCCAGTGCCAGCTCCTTCCACTTGACCACATCCAGCGCAGAGCGGCTCGAATCGTCGACGACCGAGCCCTTTCTGATCGGCTCGATTCATTGGCACTGCGAAGAGATGTTGCATTCCTTTGCATTTTCTTTCGCATCTGCCATGGGGAGTGCTCTGAGGAATTGTTCGCATTAATCCCAGCCGCCAAATTTCACGAACGCACATCGCGGCAGAACTCTCGATACCATCATACCATCTGGATGATTGGCGGTCCACCACTGTGCGATTTAGAAGATGTTTTCTTCCTCACACGACTTCCTTGTGGAATCCATTACCATCAGCGATTTTTCCGGACCGATACGACTTGGGGACCTTCAAGAAAAGAGCGTACTCCTTTTTAAAAGGCCGGCAACGCATCTGCAATTCCCTCCCTGGTGTTGCAGTTGTTCATGGGCGGCGGTAGTCACTTACCATCAGGTGAGCCGTATGCTCGTTTGCCCCCTCTCCTATAAATAAAAAAAATATTAGTAGTATAGTTGTAGTAAGTACGAATGGGTCGGCTCGACCGGGGAAGGACCACACTCTCACAGAAAACCAGCGTAAAATAGCAGCTTAACGCTGCTGTGTTTCGTATGGTGAGTGTAGAGAACCGGAGAACCTTTTTACTGGCAAAGAGGCATTCCATCTTAGACCTCACGGGTTACAACGCATCTGCATCTTGAGTCTTTATTGAGGATAGATGTAGATGTCTTTGGGCTTCAGCAACCACTTACCATCAGGTGGACTGTTGTCACCCTATCCTATTAAATATATCTAAAATATCTAGCAAACTAAGTTATACAGCTTATGATGTGAAAAAGTTTAGAAGTCTGTCTAGTATCAAGACAGCTAGATTAATTTATTTCAGTCATTTCAGCACAGAGAGACAGCTAGAGGAAATGCGGCTGATTTAAAATCTATTTTTGTTTGCTTATGAGCTATTTGTAACCTAAAACTGAGAGAGCGCCTTAGACACAAATTTAAATAAATTCATATTTTAACTTTAACCTCTCAGTATATTTGCAAAACTTTAATGTACTTCAACAAAAACAAAAGCAGTTGTAATAAAATAGTGATGTACACTCTGAAAACACAAGAAACAAACACAAGCTAGTGATAGCTACCAGTTTCTAGAGTCCACAGAGCAATTTAAACTATTGAATAACAAGAACGACGAAACAAAGTCCCAGAAAATATACAAGGCTTTCCTATTAAAAAGTTTAAATATTTTATTAAACAAAACTGTATAAAAAGGGCCATTTTAATAAAAAAATATAGAGGTTGGTTGATAATAACCCCTGGGGGTGAGGTGATCGCTTCCAAGCCGTTTCTTAAATAAGTTTTGTAAATAGTTTGTATTGTACAACCTGTCTTT